CTCCGCCGTTGCTGGCGGAAGGCTGGCGCGGCGGAAGCCGATGCCACGAACGCCTTGTATAGCGCGGTTCAGATCGACGTGGAGGTCCTGCCCGCCCCTGCCCGCAAGCCTTCAGCTCCTCCAGGGGATCGAATGGGTGGGCCAGACCGCGGCGCTCTCCAGCGGTCACAGTCGGCGGGCGCGCCGACGCTTGGTGGTGGAAAGGGCCCCGAGGACGCCGCGCCGGCGCGAGCTCGCCCCGCCTCCCAGGAGCGCCCGACGCCCAGGTGCCGACGACGAACCCGGCGCCAACGTCGACGTGGACCTCCCGAGCGCCTTCAGAAGGATCGCAGGTCGGGAATCCTTTTCTTGTCGAAATCGGAGGACGAGCGCCAGTTCGGAGGGGCAATGGACATGCTGCTCGACGTGGCCGCCCCTCCTCCCATGCAACCCATCGGCGAATATGGGGATCGTCAGGCCGCTGCGGACGAGGAGCGCGAGGGGCCCCCCAGCTGCGCTGCCGGCGAACGCGAAGGCCAAGGCGGCGGCGAGGGCGGCCGCCCCCACTGATGCTCAAGGGCAAGGGCAAGACTTGCAAACAGGGCCCCCCTTGCACATGAAGATGGGCAAGGGCGAGACTAGCGCGCCCACGAAGGGCGCGCCCGTCGGAACGGCCCAGAAGGTCACGCCCACGACGCGCGCCACGAAGAAAGGATCGCGAAGAGCGCCGGGGCGGTTGCGACACCCAACATGAGCGCCAAGGAGTCGGCATGCACGCCAGCGAAGACGAACGCAAATCGCGCAACACATCTGCGTTTCGAAGATGAGGGGGTCGACTGCTCGGAGGATAGGTGGCGCGGCAACGCCCGCGAGCACGTGGCAGAGAAGGCTGCCCTCGCGCTAGACCAGCCGTGCATATTTTACCACTGGTGTCTGCTTTTTCGCTAGATGGCCCGCGCGGGGGCATGCCGCTTGCCCTCCAGCTTCCACGGCTGCGCGCGGTCAGCCAGCGCGCTGTGAGTGGGGGAAGATGATGTCGCATGTTTGCTATGCGAGTAGCGGTGCAAACGAATCCCCCACCACCCCTCGACAGCCCGCCCCCCCCCCCTTCAACCGATTGCGCCGAGCGCCCCGGATATCTGGGTCGACCAGGGCGCGCGGCAAGCTGCCTACCAATGCAGACCTGGTCCCGGCGCCGGGCCGAGAGTTACTATCGCGCAGGGTTCGGGCCCGCGCCGACTGCGAGACGCGGCGCCGCTGATGCTCGATTCGGAATGGCGTCGCGCGTGGAAGTCACTTCTTCGCTCGTGAAATGAGCCGAACTTGGAACGCGCTGGCCATCGTGCCCTCGGCCAACACCGCCGCGCCGACAGCCAGAATTTAGGTGCTTCAGTTTCGTAGACCTTCGGTGTGGCAATACTCAACTCGGGGCTTTCACTCAACCTCGAACGGATCTTGGCAATATCCACTTCAATATACACTCAGGACTACAAATAACGCGAATCGATGCTGAACCTGACTGATTGGGACTGGACGTCGGACGATCAATGCGATCACTTCGCCACATCCTCAAATGTCTATTCGAAATCGGTGACATATTTATTGAGGGAGCGAAGCTGAGGGGCGGATGGCGCAGTAACGAATGCAGCGCGTCGCTCGCCTCGCGGGGGGCGACCTTACCGCCCAGTCAGCTGGCCACCTTGAACTGGAAGCGACGCAGTTCCTGTCGCCCCGTTGCAGTCTCTGGGCGGCGCCCGCGACATCTGAGCCAACAGCTCGCCAAGAAGTGCACTCCGCAAGTATGGATTCGAATGGGCAATTGTGAAACGCGGCGCCAGCGGTGCTCGCATTCAGTGTTTGGACGCGTTGTGCCCCCCCCCTTTATCGTTCGCCAAAATGTGCGACTTCCATTCAAATGCGCGGCAATCCATAGCGCTTCCGTCTGCGAGCGCGCTGGGGGGGCTCTAGGAAGACGTGAAATCGCCGCCCCAGTGCCTGGCGCACCACATTCGCAACCGCCCGAATCACGAAACCTTTGCCATCCTGAAATGTCTGCGCCGCGATGGGGCGCCGGCAACAGCTCTTGGAAAATCTCCGGGCAAACTGATGGGCATCTGGAGTTGGACATCACTAGTTGCAGCGGGCCTCGCAGACATGTCCCAAACGGGAATCTCTGGAAGCAGTTCAGAAACCAGCAGCAGCAGACAAACCATTCTCATTCGTACGTCGGAAGCCCAAGTGGTCATTCGACGTCTTGTGGTTGGGCACTTGGCCCGAGTTCGACGAGCTAGGTAATCCGATGCCTGGTGGCTCGCCCTCTGGATTGCTCCTTGAGAGGCATTGCGCGTGCGCGTGGGGGCTCAAGACTGAACAATTAAACATCTTGGAGCGCACAACTATAACACCTTGGAGGGGCCGCGCACATGGGGCCCGTGGAATTCGACGACCATGCCATGGTGGGATCCCCGCATCAACTCGACACGCTTGACGAACACGCGCACGACTGCTGCATGGCAGGCCAAAGGTCTCCAGAACGCACATCCGTTGTTTCAAAGCCCTGGCTTTACAATTCTGACTGTAAAACCTGATTGAGTGCACATTAGATACATGGGATTGGACAGAAGGTCGCACGATGTTGCACAATGTTGTTAGATTCGTGACTTGTTCCCTGGAGGCACATCCAATAACATGGGGGCAATCCAGAACAATGTGATTGCGATTTATAGGTGGAGCAAAGTGCGGGCCCGACTTCCCCACATCAAGATGTGCATGTTCAGTCTTCGTGCTAGGGCTACCATGAGAGGAGTAGCTGCCGAGATGAAATGTTTGGGGCCTGTCCTCTGCCAAATTTAGCGAAGACGTGTGAGCTCCTAGAGTGAGACGCATAAATAAAATCCGGTAGCTGATTCATCTGAGCGGTCCATCCGATGGCAAGTTCGGTGCAATTCCTCATCTTAGCTGACCCAACTCTTATCTGACGCTAGTGGACCAACGGAGAGACTTGGCAGGCACGTGCCGTACGTTCGTGTCTATAGAACGGGGGTGTCATACATTCGATATCGTACTAAAAAACATGGGGTGATTCACTGCGAGGGTCAAACCCTGAGAAAATGTAGTGCTGCCGTGGAGGAAAGGCCTGATGAAAAAGATGCGTCAACTCGCGTTTCTTGCGCCCGACATGTTCCATCTTGGACAATGGGGGACAAAACGGTTCTCAAGTACTGCGTTGCCCCGGACATGGTGTTCAACGCGTTGGACGCTGCTGCGTTATATCATGAAGGTGGGCCATTAACACGTTAAACGTAAGTGGGGAGCGCGCAGACAACATTAAATTGAACGCTACCTTGCGCAACGACACACTACTTAACCTAATGTGGCAAATCTTGCCGACTGGCTAAACGAACATCTAGCCTAAGTAGGCGAATGTGGCGCTGCACAACGTGCAACCGTTACCAACGAAACACAACAATACTTGAAAGAACCAGGTTGACATTGCCCATCGGCACGATGACCCTACGAAATAAATCTAACATTGCCGATCGTCAGTGTAGGCGAACGTCGTCTTAAGGGTTCCTCCTCCTCCAGCTCCTCCTCCTTCTCCTTCTCCTTCTCCTCCTCCTCTCTTTGGCCCAGGAGCAGGCTGGTCGTGGCCCCCCTCCCCCCCCTATGCTGCTCAACAAGGGGAGCCGTGTCGCCGATGCATCCGCGACACGGCGCGGTCCGCCGACACCCTCCGCATCGACGGCACCTGGGCGGCCTGGCAGCCTGCCGCCCCGCAGGCCGTCTGCCGGCCGCCCCGGGGGCCCACCCCACGGAGGCCGAGCGCGGCGGAGGGTCCCGAGGGGGGGATCTCACCTGCAAGGTCCCCCTGCTTGGTGGATGGAGGGCAGTATAAAATAGACGCGACCCTACGGGGGGGTCTTTCCCGAAACCATTCGAGACCACAAACCATGAGCAGCGCAAAGCAGCGCAGTGCTCCGCAGTGCAAAGCACTGCGTGGCGTTCCTTGGCAAAGCTTGGAATCGTTGCTGGGCATGTGTTGGCACTGGCTTTGCATCTCTATTATGTGCTTGGCCTCGTTCGGAATTGCTTGGGAGTGCCTCAGAACCCCGAGAAACCTGGGGAACGCATTGCTCAGGAACCCGAAGAACCCCGAATAATCAAAGCGAGGAGCCGGGGAAAACGCATCTCGCTGACCACGTCGCAACCACCACCTTCCTCACAATTCAAGGAGAACCCCATAGGTCACGAAAAGGGGGATCAATGTTTCGTCATCTGGGGCGCCTGACCCAACGCCGCCGGATAATGTTTTACCATATGGAGGCGCGCTGGTATAGAACCTTTCCAGCCGCTCTGAGACTAACCCCCCGACTGTGGAACAGCAGCCATGTTTTCAGGGAGCCCACAAAGGACGTACGCGCCCAGCTATGCACACGAACGCGGCCACTCGATCCACGAGACTGGCCGCGTGATGCGGACATTCGGGCAAGGCGTGCCTTCGAAACCAGCGTGGATTAATGCACGTGTACGTCCTTCTTTCGCTCCTGAGTTATGCCGTGCTCCGTCGGTCAACTTCAGGAGGCCAAACAGAACCATCGCACGCGCCCAGCCGTGCGCAAGGACACGGCCCCCGGTCCGCGAGGCCAGCCGTGCGCTTCGAACGCTCGCGCCCGGCATGCTCTCGGCGCCCACGAACCTGCCATGCACGCGTACGTATGGTGCTCGCTCCTGGCACATAACAGGAAGGGTCTGGCGACCCAGGGCCCCGACGTCGGCGGGCTTTCGACTGGACCAAAAGCATCGGGCCCAACTCTGGGATGCACGATGGGGCAGCCGTCCATCCTCGATAAGGGGTGCGTCAGGCTAGCCCCGTGCAGGAGTATCCCCGACCTTCCCATCCGTTCTCGGAGACCTGATCTTTCGCGTGCATCTCGGGGAGTGGGGGGGCGACACATCGCCTGCGCAAAGCTGCCCAGTGCCAGCGCGACACCCGTGCCCCTGGCGGCTTCGGCCGCGCCCGCTGGCAGCACCAGGCGCACCAGGACGTACGCGAAGTCCCCCGAGAGGACCAGCGCCCGAAAGGCGCCCCGGGTCACGACCTCGGGGGCCCTCAAGAGGTACTGGCACTGAGAACGCTGCTTCGGTGGACCCAACAGGGGGTCCAGCTGAAAGGGGGTTGTGCAGCAGGCTTGGGGCTTTGTGCTGCCAATGCACTGCGCCAGAAAAAGTCGTATTGCATTGCATTGCGCCTGGTGTAGTGCAGGCGAGCGCCCAGCAATACACTTGCGCACAGTGCATTGCACGCCCCAGCTCGATTGCAACCCCACAGGATCTACTGCACCAAATCTATTGCACCAGCCCCTTATACATATATTTTCAGGTATGCATATTGTGTTCGGGCATCCACTTGCGACTGTTAGGTGGACAAGCACTACATCGCTGCAATCAAAATTGTTCACAGCGTGGAACTCCCCATGAATGCATCTGTTTTCATGGACCTGTCCGCCGTGAGTGTCTAGGCGCAAGAATTGTCGAATATCAGCGGGCTTGAGTTGTGACGGGCTGGTCATGGATCGAACTGCGAATGAACGGAAGTGTGAATGAGTCTCGGTAGTACGAGCGCGTCTCTGCGCATGAGCCTGGGGCCTCCTGGGGACTCCTGAAAACATTTAGGATTGCATACACAGGTGAAGGACAATATATAGAAACGTACGTATAACATCAAGGATTCGTGCCCCAGGTGAGGCCCAAGACATAGGAACACACGTAAACCACATGGGATTGGAGCCACTCCTGCTGCCTTCTGATGCCTCCTGCTCCTGGGGCCTCTCGGGGTCTCCTGTTGCCTTCAGGGGCCTCCTGGCGCTTCCAGTGGCCTCCTGGTGCCTCCTGTGGCTTCCTGAAGCCTCCTGGAGCTTCCTTGGGCCTCCTGGAGCCTCTTGGGACATCCTGTGGCCTCTAGAGCCTTCCTGTGGCCTCCTGATGCCTCCTGGGACCTCATCTGGCCTCCTGGGGCCTCTTGGAGCCTGCTGGAGCCTCCTGTGGCATCCTGGGGAGAATTTGGCCACCAAAACAAGCAAACCGACCGAGGCATCTTCAACATCTGGCCCCCCCGTGGGGCGAACATGAGCGCCTCGCTCGAGACATCCAGGAGGCGCCTCGCACGAGACATCCTAAAAATCAGCTCCGAAAACGAAGGATGTGCGCAACCCAAACAAGCAAACCACATCCCCGTCATGTTGGCGCGAACGGAGGCCGTGAGATACCCCGTGGCGCCCCCCCTTTAGGAGTGCTGAAACCAGCAAACCGCTCGAGACATCCTCATGATCTGCTCATCGCCATCGTCATCGTCATCATCATCGTCATCGTCGTCGTCATCGTTATTGTCCCCCTCATCATCATCATACTCTCACCATATCATTGTCATCATCATGACACTCATCATCATCGTCTACTGCAGAGAGGGAGGAGGGAGGGAACGGATGATGATGAGGAGTCCGGCGCGGTCAGAGAATAACAAGAACCTCATACTTTGGATATAGGGAAAACCATCGACAAGGACTGAAGACCCTTTTTGGCCCTCGCAACGCCTGCGTGCACGAGGAGGGCCTAGAGCCACAGCCACGGAGGGACCTACGGAATATCGAGCCCCTTCCAAACCAACATCGGCCTCTACTTCAGCGTATCAGCTGTAGCGTTAGGTCGGGCATGTCCCCCTACAGGCGGATTTTGGACGAACAAATACACCCAAAATGCTCAAACATAGTCAAACAATGGTAGAAAAATCGTCCCACAACTATCTTCTACTATTTTCAAATATTCCTCCTGTAGAGGGACAATCCCGACTTAACTGTAGTGGACACAGTCCCGGCCCCGACCTCTCCGTCCTCCCCACGACCTGCCACCAGGGCGCAGCCCAGGAGACGAGCAGCCAGAACAGGCTGCCGCTCACGCTGAGGCCGTCCTTCGTACGTGGGGGAGGGCGACAACTGGGGGCGGGAGAGACGTGAACCTTTCATGCCCCTTCTTGGCCCCAGGGGGCCGCTCTGGGGCTCCTCCAGGGCACGAAGGGAGCACCTCACCTTTGCCCCCCCCCCCCCCCACCCCACACTGATCGCCTCCCCCATTGCTCGGCGGCAGGAGAAGTGAGAAGGCTTTCGCAGAAGGCTCGGAAGTCCCCCGGCATTCCGAGAGGTTTTTTCCGAGCTCTCCCCGGGAGACACAGACAACTGTTCCGAGAAGGCGCGAGGGCATCTGAAAAGTCCCGAGGCCTTGCCCCTCTCACTTCCACCCTAGAAAAAGAAAGAACTTAATCAACAGAAACTGTTGGCGCGCCGCCAGGGGGGGGGCCAGCACGGCTCCAAGAAATCCACGCGGAGCGCCAAACATTTATGTTTATGGCGTCTTTTCTTCTCCGATTCTCACTTCCTGGTCTCCAGACCGTCCTGCCATGGACCCCTCCCAGGGTCCATCCCACGCGGTTGCTCACCCCGCATCGAGCCTCGGGGGCCCGGGGGCTCGAAAACGGCCCCCGGAGGCCGACACCTAGGAAAAACCCTCCCGCGCCTCGCAGCTCGAACCTCGAACCTCGCAAGCGCCGCCCCGAGCTCGCCGCCGCAGTTCGCAGCGCCCGAGTCCTGCGCGGACAGCGGCATGCCGGCATCGGGCGCGGCGAGAGGTCCCGGCGCGCAGGGGGCCGCCTTCGGGCACCCATCGGCCCCGCGCCGCCTCGCCGCCGCTCGGCCGCGGCCAGAGCCCGGGCGGCTCTACGGAGGAGGCGGAGGCGGAGGAGGAGGAGGAGGAGGAGGGGCAGGAGGAGGAGGAGGAGGCGAAGGAGGAGGAGGAGGAGGAGGAGGCGGAGAAGGAGGAGGCGAAGGAGGAGGAGGAGGCGGAGGAGGAGGAGGCGGAGGAGGAGGAGGCGGAGGAGGAGGAGGATTTTGTCCTCGAAGGCCCGCGAGGCAAAACAGTATATGCCGCCCTCATGCGGGATTGATGGCGGCAGCGTTCGCTGCCGCCTCCTTCTCTCGAATCCGAGCCGCCAGAGAAGGAGTCGAGACACTGCCTCGAGAAGTGAGGCGCCGCGGAATCTCACGGCCCACCACTGCAGGTGCTGCAGGTGCTGGAGGAGCTCACCGCGTTCTGTGATTCAGGTGATCGAGCTGCTGGTCATTACTTGCCAGCGCACCAAGGCGAGGCTCTTGCCCCTCAAATTCTACAGCTGTAGCCAGGTGGACTGCGTTGGAAAAAAGGAGGCGGAGGAGGAGGAGGCGTCCGTCTGCGATCCCATAGGAAACAGCCCCCCAGATGGGGTCCGAGGATCGCGCCGCATCGCCGATGTATCGCCGATGCATCTGCGACTTCGGCCTTGCAGCGACGACGCCCGCGTAGAGAAGATCTGGCTCCACATCGAGCCGCATCACCGCTGCATCCGCGATGCGGCGCGATCCTCCGACCCCATCTACCAGTCGGACCTAGGCCCAGAAGAACATCCCTCAAGAATATGCGACCCTCCGCCGGCCAAAACACACAACAAAACATCCAAGGGTACCCTCCCCAGGATGCACAAGGACATCCAACAAACACGAAAAACACTTAGGGTACCCTCACAGAAGCGACCTCGATCTCATACGTCGGTCCGACTCTACCCCAGCCCCATTCGGGAAGCCGAGGAGGACGACGAGGTGGACGAGATGGTGGAGAAACTCGGAGGCCCCCGCGGATCCCTCGGATCGGCGCTGGGGCCCCCCTGGCGGCGCCTCCGGCGCCGCCCCCTGGCGCGCTCCGCGGGGGCCCAGCGCCGATCCGAGAAACCCGCGCGGGCCTCAAGAGTTTTCGTGCTCACATCGCTCCCTGTTCCCCGATACCGAGCGGGTGGGACGAGGAGGTGGAGGAAGCGTTGCGAATCTGCGATCCCATGGGGCCTGGCCGTCACGCCGCCTCGGAGGCGAGCAGCCCGAGCGCTAGTGCAACTGCAAGGAGCCAAGAGAGGGGCACACACACACACAAAAGTCGGCACCAAGTTCTTGGGACTTCGCATGTCTCACAAAATGTGTCGGATGGCTGCATTCCCCTTCATTTCCCATACGATGGAGATCTACGTTGATGCGTGCCTGTGTCTCATTTTTCCCCCTCCTGATGCACTGCGGGTGTCCCTCGAAATCACCGGACGGAGATGGCAGCACCCGCCCGTAAACTGTCCCGCGTGCAAGGCTGGGCACAGGGCAGTAGCCGTGCAACTCGCAAAGCTGAGTCTACAGGAGCTGCCACCCCACTGAGAAAGTCATGACGAAGAGTCGGAGGGGGGAGGGGGACTAGACTAGACTGGCCAGAATTGCATCCACAAGCGATACAAAGCAAAACTGATTCCCAGCGCAAAAGGAGGAGGAATCCAATATGCTGGCTGGGCACGTGAAGCAATGCTGCCAATGCCATGGCTAAGCGGCGCGGCAGAACGGCTGAAACAAATCTGGCCGCATGCGACTCAGGGTGGGGGGGACCCCACATACATCACAAGAACAATCGCGAACGCGCAAATTCTGTCTGAAAGCATCGCGTACATCGCGGAAGAAGGAACGCTCCGGAATACTCTGCAAAAGCAGCATGCGCGCCCACCAAAAACTGCCGTACACCCTACCTCCGCGCTCTCCGCCAGCAAAGGGTAGGGATGGGGGAGAAGGAAGCTGGTGGGGAGGCCAGGGATGGGGGAGGGAGGGGGGAGGGAGCCGGGAGAGAGAACGGAGGGAGGGAGAATGACGAGGAGGAGATAGATAATGCGGATGGAGCAAAGGGGACGAGGAGGAGGACGAGGAATATGAGGACGAGGAGAAAGACGAAGACTAATCAGCAACAGCAAGAGCGAGGATTACGAGAATGAGAAGGGTAGACGATGGAGGAGTGGTGGGATGAGCAGCTCGGTGGATCCACAACTTCCTCCGTGGGGCTCTCATGGGCAACGTTCGGCTCATCTGGGCCCTCTTGGGGCCTTATGGGGCAAACTTGGAAACATATTGGACCTCTGGGGGCTTGGTGGTGGAGCCGCCTTTGAGCCCTCTTGGGGCAACTCTGAGCGCTCTGAAGCCAGCAGAACCGGGTCCAGCGGGGCAAAGTTCAGCGCACACGAGGGTCTCATGTTCTACAGCGTGGTGCGGGCCACAAATTCCAAACATGCCGGCAACCACTACAGTAGGAGCACGACCGCAAGACATCTTCCACAAGAGCCCCAAACTTGAGACACCGCCCCGGGGCGTCCACTGATGTTTGGTGTGGCAGCGTCACGCCTTCCATCGCAAATCGAAACCCAAGACACCCAGGGCACCCTGGAGGCAAGCAGGGTGTCTCTTGGCATGGGTTTCAACTGGATTCCTCGTAGGCCCCCCCGAGACGAGCACGAACTCCGGGGCGGAAAGCAACTGCTGGGGTGGGGCGAGCTCTAGCCTCGGCGGCGAGAACCCCGCCCTCTGGGCAGCGGCCCTACAGGATGATGGGCCTGTTTCCCACTACCACCACCATAAGGAGGAGGAAGAGGAGGAGGAGGAGGAGGAGGAGGAGGAGAAGGAGGAGGAGGAGGAGGACCCCCTCCCCCTCCAACTTATGGTGGTGGTGGTGGCAAACAGGCCCATCACAGGAGCTCACGGAGCCAGGACACAGCGAGAACGTGGAATGAGGAGGGCATGGTCCCGCCAAGGCGAAGCACACTGCCTACTGGTACTGCCTCCCTCGCCCGTCCCGCCGTAGCCCATCACCAACTCTGCCTCTGCGCGTCAGTCTCTCTCTCGTGTATGCTCTGCATACCGCTGCATACCCTGTTCCCCAGCATCCTCCGTGTACCCTCTCCCCTTCTCCCTCGTTGCCCCTCCCCACTGCCAATCTCCCTCATCCCCTCGCCTTTGCCCTGCCCCCGACCTCCCTCCTCCGCTTTCACCTTCTCGTGTTTCCATGCCATCATTCCCTGCTCTCTCCTAGTTCACCATTCCCCTCTGCCTCCGCTTTCCCCCCATATCCTTTCCTCACCCCCCCTGCTCCCATTCTCCCCCTCTCCCTCCCCCAATACAATCTCTCCCTGCCCCCCGGTTGTCCATATCCCCCTCCTCGTTCATCCCTATGCGGCCCCTGCCGACGCCTGTCTCGAAGGTGATCTTCGGGTTGGCCTCGTCCGACGTGTCGACCGCAGAGATGGTCTGCCCCACCGCCCCTCTCTTTTCCCTGACTGGTCACGCGGGCACGCGCAATCGGATTATCCTTCGCATCTCTCCTGCTTGCTCACTAACCCTCCTCCTCGCTCCTCCTCCTCCTCCTCCTCCTCCTCGCTCCTCCTCCTCCTCCCTCCTCCTCGCTCCTCCTCGCATCTCTCCTGCTTGTTCACTAACCCTCCTCCTCGCTCCTCCTCCTCCTCCTCCTCCTCCTCCTCCTCCTCCTCCTCCTGCTGCTCCTCCCGCACCCTGCACCTGCTCCCTCCTGCTTGTGCTGCGTTGCCTCCCTTCTCCTCCAACGTCTACCCCTGCTCCCTAAACGTTCTTCATCCTGCGTCTCGTAATGCCCCTGGTCCTCCTCCTCCTACTCCTCCTCCTCCTCCTCCTCTTCCTCCTTCCCCTCCCTTATCCTTCTGCTGCTGATGCCTTCATCCTTCATCCTCCTGCCGTTGCTCCTCCTTCTCCTCCTCCTCCTCCTCCTCCTCCTCCTCCTCCGCCTTCCTCCTCCTCCTCCTCCTTCTCCGCCACCTCCTCTTCCTCCTCTTCCTCCTCCTCCCGGGTCTCCCAAGAGCAAGCGTACCAAACGCCGGTCTGCACGCCCGGCTGCACCACGGCCGCGATCCCTCCCCCCCCCGTCCTTCGTCTCTGTGGTGCCGCCCTCCGCCGTGATCTTGACCAAGTCGCCCGCGGCGAAATCGACGGCCCACACCTCACGACGCCAGCGTTTGGTCGGGCATGTCCTCTTAAAAGCAGAAATTGGACGAGAAATCAAAAGAGTCAGAAGATGCTCAAAAATAATTAAAATACTCGAATAGTAGTCCCCAGATCATTGTTCTACTAAATTTGAAGACTCCCCTTGTGGAGGGACACGCCCGACTTAACGCCAGCGAGCGACGAGAGGGATGGCAATGTCGCAGCCGAACAGGAGCACCCCACGCGGACACCAGAGAAAAGCGGCAGGCACAGGCGATGAGACGCAGGCAGAGCAGCTGCCCAAACATCTCTGCGCGGGCACCAGACATCGAAGGTCTTTGCTCGAGGAGGAGCAGTGAGTCATATGGCACGAGGGTAGGAACAATGAATCATTCGGCACGGGGGTTTTGTTGCCTGCCGTTCCGCGAGTTCTAGTTCCGCCAGGGTGCATCACAGTGCATGCGCACATGCTGCCTAGTGTCAAACGAGGGATGGTGAAACAAAATCGAGAGCGCTGCTCAGCGTGGCGTGCCGCGCATCTGCTGCCATTGTTCACGACGACACAAGGGATGGATGGCGGCTGCAGTGGGCGGGAAATGGGCGCTGCGGGAACAGCTGCCAGGTTGCAGCTGGGAGGGGAACCCTCCTCGGCATCGCATCGCCTTTTATCTGGCCCAACCCTCCTCGGACACAGTTATGGTGAGTGAGAAGAAATCCAGCTCTGCCGCTGCCCCTTGGGGCCTGCAGGCAGAAGAGGCAATGAAGAGGGAAAACACCCAAACACCAGAGAGGTCCCAGACGAACCGCAAACGGATGCAAGGACGGAGTTTTCAAACATCCGCATCGAGGACAACCCGCCACTCCATGCAAAGCATACCGCAACC